TCACCATACAGCAGCACTCATTTCCGAGCGGATATTTTCAGACGCACAGGCACTGCAATGATGAAGCACGTACTGTGCAAAACTGCTTGCTAAGTTCTGAATGCAGTGCCAGTTTGTGTTTGCGGCACGGCACACAACAGAATTTTTGTTGATGCTTTGTCGCAAATTACATAAATAGACAACAACAATAAGAAACATACATAAACATACATTACATATAAAAATTACTAACTGTTCATGAGTGTATTTTGGCATATAACGTGTTAGTTAATGCATTTACGGATAACCATTATGACAGATTGATAGTTCTTTATAGCGCCAGGCGTACATTCAGGATATTGAATATGTTTCGAGGTAATGTTATATTTACTCTGTAGTTTACTCTAAAGCATATTGTAACTAACAAAACTACCCTAGTATTTTCACTGGTAGATAAAAAAGTAAAATCCACAGTTTTTATGCATATGGCTTGGCAGATGAATCCGAAGATTGCGCATGTTTGGCTTACAATACGTTGTAATTTTTAAACGTACAAGCGATTTGAAGCGTAGAAAATGTTCTCTCCAAAAAACGCGAAATAATTTCAATATTAATTTTGATAACTCGATAACTACGGTGCAGCGTTAACACTCGAATTTAAACTCGCGGTAATTTATTTGATAACTTACTTGTTTCCGCATAAATCACAGCCTAGCGTTATTGACAATAAAATTATGCACAAAATAGGGTGAATTAAAATCAAGCAAAACTTATTGCCTGTTCAAATTTGACAATGTAAAAAACGATAAGAATTCAGATTTCAGTTTTTTTTTTGCAGTATGCTATCACAGTTTAGATACGCGATGCAAATAAAAAATATAATAACATGAAGTTCCGAAAATTTTAAGCTTTGTTATGGGCAACACGCAGTTTGATATGATATCAAACTGCAATCCATGGTTTTAGCTAGCCTGTGGCTACTGCATATGAATTTGCGGCTACCCTCTGAAACGCCGTGGCGCTGCTGTCGCTTTTCACGTGACCACGCTAGCCACGCCTTTCGCCTGGACTTAATTTCCCGCGCTCACGAGAGAATCGGAGAGATAGTAACATAATATCATGCATAGTAACACTGATGGGTACTTTTCGATTAATTCAACAAGTTACCTATTTTTTTAGGAAGCAAACCAGTAAGTTCTTTCCGAAGATTTATATTTATATATTGTTATTGAAAAAAGCTGAACTCAAGCAAGCGCTATTCAGTAATTAGTATAGCGTAAACGAAAAATGCATTGTATACCACGTTTCACGTGTTTCTACTTTTTCACAATAAAAATGAAAATAAGACGCAATATATTTTTATGGAATTCTCAGTAGCAATTGCGGCGAAAGAAAGCGCATTAATATCTTCCAGCAATGAAAGCAGTGGTGAGTGCATCCGGTCACCGAAAGCTTCACTATTTAGCGTCACTATTTAGCGCTGCTACACAAGTCCCATGGTGATGCCGCTGTCCAACAGATCCTTTACAATGACTCCCTTGCCCGAAGCGAAAACCGGGTTGCCGCGATGGGCCGCCGCCAGCGCCTGTGTCAGCCGGCTGACCATATAGCGTCGGCGCCGTCCCCGGGCGGAAGAGGATGCTCTGCCAGGGTCCGAAAGACTTCCGACGCTGTCCGTTCAGGCGGCATTCCGAGGTCTCCGCAGAAATCGACCGTCAAATATTTTCTACTCGAGGATGTAATACGTGTACATAATCCTATGGCGACGACTGTACAATAATACGAGTAGACCTTTGCAGTTTAATAGCACATGCAAATAGTAACGTCGGCTGCCCGATTTCGTAAGCTGACGTGCTGCGTGTAGCGCGCTGTGGAGCTGCTCTAGGAAGAAAACACTTATGACGTCATTTGGTTCTGATTCTTTTTCTATAAAAGCCAAACGTATCCACATCTGTGACAACTGAAATAAATTATATATCTGCAGTTATTTCTAACGATAGGTAATACATAATCGTAAACAGAGCAGCGCTCACTTGGATTTCAAAGCAGGTGTCGGTTAGTTACCGGATGATCCTTTTTCCTCGAAATGCGCACGGGTTCGGCTCTTAAAGGGATTATCTGGAAGCGAGACTCGTTAATTACTTCCTGCAGGTGACAACTTTACCAGCCAGCAGAAATAATTACATTGTGCTATTCGAGACAAGCTGTTTCCGCCAAGTCATTCCCATCCGTTTATTGCAGTATAACATCAACGAATGCATTAATCGCGCCACAGGTTTGCCTTCCGCGTCATGGACAATAATTTACTTTGCAGCACCTGACACCCAGAGAGATTTTCCGAAAAATTATGGCAAACATCAGTTTTTTTGCTCTTCCCTTGGCAATCAACTCTACTTCACTGTCCAACTTAACCGGCGACCGCACTATCTCTCCCGGTTTCGTAATCACAACCACCGCTCGTCTCGCTTTAAACGCGGGTGTCTTGCTTATGCTGCTCCTCGATAAAGCGCTGCGCTCCTCCTCCTTCAACGTCTACATAATCACCTTATTCACCAGCAACCTCTTATACGCTGCTGTAGACGGTCCGGTAAAAATCCTGACCATGGCCGCCACGGGCTGGCGGCTGGGTCGGTCATTCTGCACGCTGAGCCTGTACGCTATCTACGTCCTCGCACCGATGACACTCCACACCCACCTTCTCATCAGCCTCAACCGGGCGTGGGCCCTCTTCTGGCCGATCGGATACCGGAATTATCACACTGCAAAAACCGCTGGGGCGATTTGCGTGATTATGGTGTTTTATGTCCATGCATGGCAGTTACCGGGAGTGATACTGGACGCCCTGTATTACCGCCTGAGTCCGGAAAAGGGCTGCTGGTTAAATCGCGCCGCCATACCAGTTTATGCGGCATTGCAGAACTGGACACAAACCGCGCCGACGTTTTTTGTACCCTTGTGTTATCCGTTTCTCCTGTTGAAGTACTATTTACGGAAGCGGAAGATCGCAGAAAGGTCAGCCGGAAATAACGGTGGGCTGGTGCAGGTGCAGCAGCCGCTGCGGAAAAAGGCTGGGCAACCATTTTTGATTACCACCATGTTTACTGTGGCGTTCACGGTGTGCTGGTTGCCGACGCCGGTGTTCTACTTGATGACGGAATCGGCGCCTAACGCGTATCCGGTGTTTCGCCAATTCCAAGCGGCAGCGTATTCCCTGTTGCCGATACTGGATCCCATACTGTTCTGCTTGACCATTCGCTACTGGCAGGACAGCACGCGACGCCTGTGGCGGACGTATGTTTCACGACCTACGGCGAACGCTGTGGATGCAACTTCTATGTCACGTGTCGTCACCGAAAAATAACCAGCCTATCCATGTACCTGTATACTAGCGGTGGTTGATAACCACCTCATTGCACCGAGCGCGAGTGATAGCACAGGGAAAACTGTTACGCATTTCCAGTAAGTACCACTTGAAAATCGCGCAGTTGCGTTCTGTGTATCACTGGAAATGGAATCGGCATGTGGAATTCCACATATCCCATAGGAAAGAAGGTGACGTGACGCGCATGTGAGGCGACAGACATATTCTGCTACGGAAAGTGTATACTCTGCTATGGATGCGTGCATCGCTTTGACGAAGGCTTATTGCAGCATCTCGCGCTTCGCGCTTGATGCAAATAAAGCACATCTGGCGCCAGTTTCCGAACAAACCTATTCTAAAGCAAAGACACCCTTCGTTAGATCTGAGCAGTCTCATCAAAGTATGATTGTCAAATTTTAAGCGCACCATGAATGTCCGGACAGACTAAAATTGTACAGCGACTTTTCAGCATTAACTCTGCATGCTGAAGTCACTTAGCATGTACGGTTTCTAGAAAATAGAAATGTTGAAGTCTGATTGGGCATATTTCTTGTACCTGGGCAATGCGTGCGAATAAGAAGCTTTTTCAAACTTCCTCCCGTGGCAATGCGCAGCATAGTGAGCATACGGTGTCATGACTAATGACGAGATTACACGCGCCCGACGTCAAGGTCTATCTTCAAGGTCATTGACATCACGGTTATATCATTATTGCTCACTATTAATCATAATGATATCACACCAGTGAGTCACGACCATACTACAATCGGTCCGGATCCATAATGGATCCGGACCGGTTGTATAAAGAGCCCATCAAATGCATTAAAATCAGCCGAGTTATTTCTAATCTACGGATCAGCTAATAATAATTACACTGTAGTGGGCAATGGTCAATTATTATTAAAAGGTTGTGGTTAAAAGGTTGTTTGGTTCGTTTATAATGCATATAGGTAATGGTCATCGTTGACCTTTCATTAGGGCTCAAACATCCACAACACCGTAGGTATACACAACAGGTAAAGACCACGTCACCCTGACTCACCCATTGTTGTGACAATTGCTGACTGTATGCCTTCAGGGAATTGGGCCGGTACATGGTACCAAATTCGTGTACATGCACGAAAACTTACACATTCGCGCACTCCCAAACACACATTAGTTAGACTCCAAATCCATCAAGATTTCAGCGAAGCAAATCTGTGACAAACGCTTAAAAAAATCAAACTTTAAACCTTAACAAACATCAAATAACTGCACGGCAATGATGAATCACATATTTGCATCCATCGGGCAACTTTGGGAGCGCAAAAACATGCGACACTTTGCTTCACGGTGGGCTTTCATTCTAGTCTGTAATTTTACTTTGCAGTTTGCACCTTACTGCTGCCTGTATATTACCTACCGAATTCAGTGCTTTAAATTAATTAAAAAAGTTACTGTAAATAAAGATCAATTTAAAACAGTTAATGCACATAACCACGAAGAACGTTTTTACACCGATCCACTGCTCTAGCGTGTTTTTCAAATTTTACAATGAATTTCACAAAATTTTCAGATTCATTTCAAAATTTAAAAAAACTCGGTGTAAGAACGATCTTCATGGACATGCGCATTTACGTGCAAAATTTGAGGGAGATCATTCCATAATAATGAGACTTCTGGTACACCTGAATGCATCTAAATTTTTTGGAATTTTCTATTAGCCATAACTCCCGAACCGGATGTTGCGCGCACAAACGGTTTTCACGCAAGCGTATACAAATCTTCTGGCTACAGAATATCATAAACCGAAACAAAAATGTGTTTGAGAGTGCGCGAAAGTGTAAGTTTTCGTGCATGTACACGAATTTGGTACCATGAACCGGCCCACTTCCCTCAGTTGTAATTGACTTTTGGGATGCCCTTTTACCAGACATTCTAGCATACAACAGCGATTTCGGAAATGGAAGCCCATAAATTTTAATTTCGCAGATCTACCTTTGCAATGAAACAATATAACATTTGCAAGCATGTACGCAAATTACGTTTGGCTACTGCATAATGATATTTTGTTAAATATGTACAGAGTTCGGTAAGCAACTGCCTGCACGTTCTTTAAACAATGTCAAAGAGCTGATTCTACGCAAAGGTACGAATTTCGATCAGAATTACCAGTCCATAGTCAACTCTAATACTCCATATCCGACCAAGCACCGTGCGACAGATTCGGCAACAGCGGCCAGCGAGATCAACAAGGGGGTCGCCAAACGGCCCACTTCCCACTTATCAGATATCCTAGTCATATTTGCATTTCTCGCTGAATTGCGTATGAGTGGCTTTGTTTGCCACTGGTTCGTACATTGCACAGACTAGTACATTCATGATCCAGTTATCGAACTTTATCGCAAGAAAAGAGAATCGCTTCTGCGTAACATGTCGATAAATATCGATACATACAGTTACTGCAAGGTTGCACTTACAGATGTTTGGTTAGTCTTGACAGCGGAACAAAAGGTTTACGAAGCATAAATGGAGAGCAAAGTCACGATTGCCGAACAGATTGGTAATAATTGCGAATATTATTACGAACCGAATTGGTGTATTGGCCGTGGACGATTTGGTTGTGTCTACCGTGCAAAGGTTACGAAACGCGGCACTTATAGGGGGTTAAAGCACGTGGCTATAAAAAGGGTGCAACTGAATGCAGCAACAAGATGGCTCGATGTCCAACAGCACCTATTACGATTGCGGGACCTTTCGCACGAAAATGTGCTGACATATCATCAAGCAACGGTTTTCCAGATAGCGGGCAGGCAATCCATACTGGAATTAATGATGGACTTGTGTCATGGTAAGCTGATTGAGTTGTTTATGGAGCACTCGTTTCGGCCAATGAAAATCTGCAAAAACTGCTACAATAGCTTTTAGAGCAGTGCTGATGTTGCAATCTTTGGGGAGCGGTAGCACGTCAGTTCTCTGACCTCTGTTTTTGCTGCCCGACAGCTTGCTGACCGACATACTGCTGATTCACACAACCTGCTGACCGACAAATCGCTTTTCGACAATTGTACTGCCCGACGTTTTGCTGAAATCAATTTGTTAACTGACTGTTTGCTTACCGGTCTGGTTTCTAGATTTCTTAACTTTTTGTGGTTTCTTGGCACACTTTGGCTCTTAGCTTGCCTTAGGTTTTTATTTTTTTT